ATGGACTGTGACATGGTAGCACAGCAGATAGACAGGACAGCTAGAGGCAAAGGCTAAAGCAAGCAGTAGAGGGCAAATACTCGAGGCTCTATATATAGCCTGGTCAAACGTTGCCATATGCCAGATGTCAGTTGTCAGCCCGGGACAAGGATGAACGGCAACGGCAACGGCAACGCCAATAGCATTGACTGCGCACGCACACACGAACCGAATACAGCGTACGTTCATACCCTGTACGCAGGCGAAGGCTGGGCATATTGCAGTTAGATATAGCTTATACATTTTATTTATTATCTAAGAAGCTTCTTATTATAAAGTTGTATTTTGTATATCGACTTCCAATATCAATGAAAGCTATATATAAAGATGACAGAACAATTATACCATAATCTGAATCTTCTTTTAATTAATATTTTTACTAGATTGCATGAACTAATATTTATTTGCCTATTTTTTTTAAGAAACTATTTGTCATCCATATATAGGAACAACTAAACAATGATTCCTGAAGAACTCTTTAAAAATATAGCAATACGAAAGTACCCGCATTTTATATAGGAAAATAAAAATATGTCAGTATCAACTTATAAATACATATATATCGATATATCTCGAGATTTATGCTAGATTTTTCAGATTAATTTCAACAATGCTTGTCTTATAAAATATACCTTTGTATCTCGAAACTATACACAGGGTATCTGTAGGTCGCGCACGCTTGACTGGAGCACTCTTACTTGTTTTTACTACAAAGGTTGATCAGGCACACACATTGGACGTGCAACATGCACCATGTATGTCTCCTCTTCTGTGCGTGTGTGAGTGTGCTTCAGTGTGTGTGAGTGTGTGTATAAATCTGCGTACGTGGCGGCATTCGGGCAGAAGATTGCTTAGCGAGTCATCGTCATTCAGAAGGCAGTCACACAATGGTCAGCCCGAGATTGAGGCTGTTTGCTCCTGCTGCTGCTGCTGCTGCTAGTGATGGCTGACGATAATGTTGCATGACAATGCCAGCTAGGTCTAATGCCTGCAACAGCAACAGTGAAAGAAACGGCAACGGCCGTAACAATAATACACTGAGAATGACAGACAGAGAAGTTCACAAGTTCAAACGCAGACGCAACGGTTTGGACGTGGACCAAATTGCTATGCCATGCCCAAAGCCCACTACCAATACCAGCCGCAGTCACAGCCGCAAATACAGTTCCACTGCCCCAACTCCAACTCCGACTCCGACTCCAACTCCGACTGCAACTTCGACTTCAATTCCAGCTTCAGCTGCAGTCGCCTCCGTTTCAAATGTTGCGTATAAAATGCGCATAAATAAAATGCTTGGTAGCAGGCGATTGGGCAATGCCAGCGAGCAAAATATGCAACGGACGTGGCAAAAAGCATTGAAAACGAGCCACATCACTAAACGGTACTTTTTTCGAAAGCAAAAACCAAGAGCCAGAAAGCTAAAAGACTGCACCTCATAATATATGTATACACGACCCCTCGCCATCCCAGCGCATCCCTTTTCAGGATTGCACGCTGCGCATGCGTGTCGGAGCTTAAATGCCTTTGGCATACGCCGAGTGCGAGTCGCGTCTCTGTCTATCTGTCTCTGTCTGTCCGTCCGTCTGTCTGTCTGTCTGCCTGTCAGTCCGTCTGTACCTGATGAGCTACAGTGACGTCTTCCGTTAGCATAGCAAAGAGCATCGCAGCTATGTCGTTACGCTCGAGTGCAGCATGCATCAGCAGCTCAAGTTCGAACCTCAAAGCTATCCTGGCTGTACGCATTGTAGATAATGTTATGGAAATTCCATTGAGCACAAAAAAAAGTAGAGGGATATAAACTAAATTTATTTGCAATATTTTCTCAAGTGAAAAGTGAAAAGACTAAATGGGATTATTTCAGTATTAAGAGCATTAAGTTCTTGAGAATCGCATAGAACAGCTGTGCACTCTCATAATATGAATGTAATTGATTGCTATGCTTGTCAACAAATGTAAATGAATACAGATGTAAAATGTAAAGCGAACTAGTTCATTTCCAAGCTTCCCTCAGAGCTGGTTCACGTTTGTCTATGTATTTCTTGGAGCTCTGAGTTCGAATCTTCAGTTGAGTATCGCCAGCTCCCGAAACACTTTGTTTCTCTGCTGTCCCCAGATCGCAGCTTACAGCATTAACTATTGACGCTTTGTAGCTGTATAATAAGTCCGCTGAAGTGCTGCTTGCTGTGCCTCGCGGATATCTGCTGAGAGTTTCGAGCTTGGCAGTGTCTTGAGTGGCATCGCATGTGGCAAATGCATTAATTAAACAGACTTCGTGGCAATATGGCAGGAATACATGGCAAAGCTTGCAACGCTTACGTTGGCATTATCTTTATTGTCAACATTATTAACCTCATCATCATCATCATCACCATCATCATTATCATCATTGTCATCATTGCCATTGTCATCATGATCATTGTGAGTGAGTGCAGCAGCATTTGAAATGAAGCCATTCCTGATGGCAATAATAATTTAGTCAGCCAGGCGACATCGTCAACGCAATTTGATGTTGATAATTTCATTAATTAAAACGCGCACATCAATTGACACCAGCAACAGCAACAGCAGAAGCAGCAACAGCAGAAGCAGCAACAGCATCAACATAAACAAACGACTCGAATCTGTTTTGAAGGGTTGGAAATTGAGCGACGAATTGAAGTCCCATGGAGCTATCCATACGAGTTTTACGGACTCGACTTGTCTCGACTTGAATTAAGTAACTTATTCGACTGGCTGCTGTTGCTGCTGCTGCTGCTGCTGCTGCTGCTGTCAATAAGCCGACTGCCAACAATAAAGCACCATTAAAATGCTGATGAAGTGGAAATGCAATCTGCCAGCCGCGCCTTTACGCCTCCTTGGCAAATGTGGCGGGAAGTTTTTATGGCGGAAATACGAGTAGTTGATTAATTTTGCATCCCCGGACCCGGACCCCCGACTCCGGCAACCACGCCGCCAGCTAAACTCTTAAAAGTTATTAGCCTGGCTGCCAGGCCGGGATTAGATTGCCAGACGACCCTCTAAAGTGCCAACAACAACAGCAACAACAATGTTGTTACACAGCTCGTTTGGCATTAACAGAATTTGCAAATTGCCGGAGATGTTTCCATTGCCGTTAGCCCATTTAATGGGCTCCATGGCCAATTACAAACTGATAATGCGATAGCAGCCATGACATAATCAGCCAGCTGACCCACAAACCCCACATTGTGGGCGCGATGCAAGCGACCTGGGATCGCACACGAAGCGCCAATGCAAACGGATCTGCCAATGCAAACTGCAGCACTTGTAAAGCAATTAAAATCAAAGTTCCTAATAGAGCCAACTGCAATACATCCCAGTTGAATGCATAAGAAAAGAAAAGAGCTCGATCCATTAAATACCGTGAAATAGACTTTATAATATCTGATTTGCTCAACACAGAAGATTGTACTCCATCGAGATACAGATAAATATAGTTATGGAGATAAAAATAGCCGTAGAAATAATACATCTAATAACAGCACATCATAATTTCATAGATCTCAGCAGCCAGACAAACTGAGTCATACCACATGCCCTCCCACACAGGCCACATATCCAGGGTACAAGGAAGAGGAAAACATACTTGCAGTCGACAGCGGGACATGCAGCAATAAAAAGCCATAGAATTTAACAATTGTGAAAAGTCAAGAAACTACAGCAAAGAGCGACAAAAAACTTTTATTGCCGTTGTCCGATGCCCGAGGTCCGCGGAACAGAGACTGGGTCTGAGGCTAGCGGCGAATTAAGAGAGAAAGGTGGATACATTCCTTGACAGCTTACCCCTCCGCAAAGGAAGTGCAACAAGCAAACTTTTGTTGCACACACAAGTGGCACAAAGGAAGGCCACAGGCATGGCTGGGCAACTACAACATTCGAGCCGCTGCATATCCTCCGATTGCAGAGCCACAAAAAGGTGAAACCGTTTACGGGCTTATTATGGCAGCGATAGGGGATCGCCTGGGGCCAGCAGAGGAAGTATATAAGTGAATAGGGCACCATACCATTAGCAAGCCAACCAGAACTTAACCGTTTATTTCAAAAGGGCGACTCCTCTCCTCTCGTACAATTTCACCGCTAAGGACTATGGCTGGGTGAGTAAGCAAACCTGTGTATAATGGAATTACCCAATGATTTTTGTACATAGAACTTGCAATTATTTAAGTGAGTTCAACATAAACTATATACATTCTTTTTAAACCAACGAAAATAGCTGTTGCAGACCAAAAGTTGCTCCTATATACTGTCAATTCAACTCAAACTAGGCTAAACCACTTTTAGCTGTTATATTATCATCTCAAATTTTCATTTGAATACTTAGAAGATCTGCCTTAATCCAATAGCCAAGGTGATGCTCAATAATTGTCTAATAAATCCAATTAAATCGGACTATTTTGGTTTTATTAAAGTGCATATAACTGGTAGCAGAATGCATGGCAGACCACATATATCTTTTGATTGACTATAGATCATTTTTACAGGGTGTATTGGAATTAATTATTTAGTGTAACTAGAAACTAAATCGATATTGCCTTTTCAATGGGTCCAGGTCATAAGAACCTTTTTCAATAACTGATTTTCCATAGTAGAGCCTAAGAATCGTAAAGTTCTTGAAACAGAAACTCTTAGTAGAACCCAGAACCTTTCCTAGTCGGGCAATTCTGACTAGAACACTCTTATAGCACTTATACTATTTAACTGTAAACTATAAATCGTAATGCGTCCTAAAAGCTTGGGCCGCGTGAATTAAAGAATTTCCCATATACAACTGATTAAAAAGTCTTAGCAGCTCTGCCTCGCTCGTATTCATGTTCCATACAGGGTAACAGAAAATTAATGTTCCTAATGTCACATGCAAATGACGTTTGCACGCTGCACCGGCTAATGGGCACTTGGCAAATGGCTAAAAGGAGGAATTTAATTTAAGACTACATTAAACTCACCAGAAATTAATAAAGCTCCGGCCCACAGCGAAGGCAAATTAGACGCTGTGGGAGTTCCAGGTGCCCGGCCGTCTATAGACTATATCCAGTGCAATTAAAATGCGTAATTAAATTGAATGCATTTAGGGATGTCAGCCGATCTCTCCAGGGTATTAAAAACTCGGCCTCTGCTGTGGCTGCCGTTGCATTTGATATTTTGACAGTTTGGCATTTGTTGTTCGTGTCGCAATTGTTGTCGATCCGCTGCCGAATGCTTGCGGTGTCACTGCTCAGCTCCCAGTGGACTTTTGGTTTGATTCCGAGTTTACAATTTATGTGATTAGTCTTTTTTTTGCCGTTTTCCGTTTTTTTAATGCGCTACTTTTACATAAGATTATTCTTCCTCTCTCTCTCTCGCTCTCACTTACTATTTATATGGCACTTGAAAAATTATTGAATAACTTTATTGAATTGTTGTTTAAATTATTTGGCAAATATTGTCTATTCAGTATACAAAATTATTTAATGGCTTCATCCATTGATCGGATCTGTAAGACGGGGAAAAATAAATTATGATTATAGTATTATTATTATTAATTATATTACTATAATTAATATGAAGGGATTAGGAATTACGTTTAATACAATATACATATATGATAGCTAAGCAATTGAAACCTAGAAAGAAATTTCATTTAGAATAGAAACTTGGAGCATAATTTCTCATAATTATCCCTTATTCTGGAGCTGTATCAATAGTTGACGATACTTGCCCGTCCAAATGTTTGTTTGTCCGTTCATATACATAATTTAAGAGCTAGTCACTTGAGTAGTTATCCGTTTTAACTCTTTTCTTTTCGGAACAAGGGCTAGAGACATCTAATTTAACCTTTGAGCTTCGGGATATTTAATGATAATTTCCCGCGTCCCCATTCCTCTGAAAGTCCTCTCACACATTTAGTATCTGCTAGTTAAGGCACAGCAAATGTACTCTAACTTATCATATCCAACAGATAAAACAGCTTTGGTTACATGGATCCTTAAGCTGTGCTGATAGCCATGTTGCTGGCAACACCGTCTTCTGATCAGAAGTCGATTCTGAATATCTATATTGTTTTGCGAATCGCTAAACGGAAAATATAGTTTGGTTGCCGCAGCGGCGGCGTTGATTGGCCACAAGTTGAGGCACTTAAGGGCCACTTAAGCGCATGCATTAGCTACGTTACGCCCACCGATCGGCGGCCGACCAGTCGGCTTTTAACTAATCAACATTGTAATTTTTCTTGGCGCAAACTTTACGGCTACAAAATTGCAGCAGCAACAGCAGCAACAGCAGCAGGAGCAGCAGCAAACGGCTAAGGCTCGAGGAAGAGAGGCAGCGATTCAGAGGAACTTTTATTACGGCAACGCTGTGAGGATATAGCTAAACATCAGGACCCAAGTGCCAAGTGGCTGTGCGTGTGTTCTGCCTTCGCCCGCACCTCTGCCTCTGCTTCTGCCTCTGCCTCTGCCACTGCCACTGCCTATGGCCGTGTGGGGGAGGAGGCGCAGCTGTGCCAAGCGCACTTCAACGCCGAGCAGCTGAAATAAAAAGCGGCAGAAATAACTATGTTGAAATCACTTAGCTTACAAAATGCAATAATATGCACAACCTCAAAGTCGACGTCGACGACGGCGTCGACATCCAATGCAAATGCAACATTAGTAAATTTTACTGCTTTGTTGCGGCTCTTGTTGTAGTTGCACTGTTCTTGTTGTTGCTGATGCCAAGCCAGAGCCAAAGGGCATCTATATGCATGGAAATGCGGAGACCAAAAGGAGCTGAGCTGCAACGGCTTCACGACTATCAGCATAGCCTGCACTCAATTGCGAAACAGCTATAAAACTGTATTTGCGCCAATACTCCAATAGAGAAACTCATAGAAACAATCTGATAAGAATCCCAGTTGGACAGCTGCAGCTGAAGCCAATTTATAGTTTAAGAATATATCAAAAAATCATTTACAGCATTTGCTGGCTCAAGCTCTATTGTGTTGACTACCCTTTCTGCTATTTACATAACAGGGTATCAAACTGACTGCCTGAGCAGAAGTAGCGGAAATACAAAGCCATAGTTAATGTAAAAGCCAAAGCGGATTGCTATTACATGAGAGCGTTTTGTGCGCTTTGCCAGCGCGTTTCAAGCTTCATTGAGCCCCCCATATTACTGGGCGCTCCAGCTCCAGATGGGGCTAGGCACACACACACACACACACACGCGCGGTCTAAGGCGAATTGTGTTGTACAAAACATAACGAATTGGCTACTCGAACTGTTAATTAAGCATTATAAACAAGGCTCCCAACGAATGTACCGAGGACTCTTTAGGCATTTACCTTTATCCAAGAAATTTCACAGAAGCTCATTTTGAATGTTTAATATTAGATAATTGGTGTAACTTAATATATCTAAGTTTATATACATGATATAATGCCTAGGCTTATGGCACTGTAAAGCGCAGGCCGTCTAGACTCAGGTCTATCACACAATATATATGCAATGTATATATGTGGATATTTATTTAGCACAGCTTAACATTTTAAAATTAATTAATTTATTTATAATTGGCATAGCAAGTGTAGAGTTAAGCCTAGGCAATAGCATAGTCTCGAGATTTACAAATATTACACCCTTATATCTATGGTAGAGCATCTAGCTGGCGACTGTTGTAAGAGTTGGTGGCTACTGGGAATGCAATGTGGCGCATGCATGTGCACTTATACACATACATATATTTTGGCCCTAAGTTGCCCCACGGTTGTAATAATGCCTGTAAAGTGCGGTGTTGTACGTTGCTCGGTTGGGGCCTTCTGCCGGGCTGCCAGTGTGTAGAGAAGTCAAATGCGCTTATAACACTACAAATGCACGGCCAGAGACAAAATACCGATGACAGCGACGCCAGTTGAATTCCTGCATTCGACTTGTTAGATACTCCTATTATGTGTATACTTTTTTCTTTATAATTGTTGCTGTTGTAGTTGCAGTTAGTTTAGTGTCGTTTGGAACAGCAAATCGTGTGAGTCGCACAGGCTGGCGACTAATTGGTTTATTTATGGCCGGCCTTTATGTTGGCGCTGTTCGAGCCAAAAGTCGCGACCGCGTTGCAAAGCTGCTTGCATCGCTGCATCGCTGCCATCGCTGCCATCGCTGTCATCGCTGTCATCGCTGCCTTCGCTGTCATCGCCTAGCCGCCAGTGACCTATGGCGGCTTTTTGGCCATAATTGCTGCCGGCAAGCTAATTAGAAGATAGTGTGCTCGGCACATATGTACATAAGCCGGCCAATATTTGCCAACAACACGAGTCAACAATCAATTATGTTGTCTGGCCAAAAAGCCAGCCGTCCCTTTGGCCCGGCCCCGCACAGCTCCGCTTGCGCCGCAATTCCAATTGGGCCTTCGTCCGAAATTCTTTGCAGCAGCAGCAGCAGCAGCAGCATCAACAATTGATTAGTTATTTAAAAACTCCATTTGAACATGCTCTTTTGCATGGCCAGGGCGCGCGACGCAGGGCACGATGTGCCGAGGCTGACTAACTCATTTCTCATTTTCCCATTAACTTGGACAAATACCATGTCATCATCAAACAAGCCATGGCCAAAGCCGCTGTTGAAGCCGTAGCCCTATCCATAGCCGTTGCTGAAAATGTATTTAGTCGAAAAAAAAAATTAAAAAATAAATAAATAAGTATATACGTATATGTGCTTGTGCCAGACGCAGAAGCCGGAGAAAATTTCACTCAACTTAGCTACATTCTGTAGCGCGGAAATTAATTTTCGTTCAAGGAGACGAAGCGACGGTTCCGATGGCTTTGCCTCTCGCTCGCCTTTGGTCAAGTGCAAAGGGTTTTCATATTGTTCCCCAGCTGGACAGATCGCCATGCCGTTGATGGATGCAATTAGCGTGCCCTGCTTGCCCGTTGGCCAAAGAGCGCCAGTAGCAGGCAGCAGCATTTTCGGCGCCTGCCAAGCGCCCATAAAGCGGCTGCCCAACGACAATGACCTGTGCAGGCGCGGAACGGCAGCAATTGTGGCGCAGCTTATTAGCCCGACAGCAATTACCAGACATCGAGAATGCGTCCCAATGGCCGGCCGAATACACATGGTTTCCCTCAGCTCGTCAAACGGGAACTGATAACAAATTTTGCTGATATAACTTGAACGGAACTCGTCTTACAACTCGAATTCTGCTCTTTAAAAATACCTAAAGAAACATTGATTAATAGCCATTATAAGTAAAAACATTTGGTTTGAAATCAACTCTTTCTTAACTTTCCAAAATATATAATCGAAATACGAAACAACAAAGCTCGCTTCGAATTCTGAGAATCGCATAGAGAGGTGCTAGGAGAAGGTTAGAAAAATTATTAAATTAAAGTGGAATCAGCTTTTAAATCTGCTAAACTAAATCCATATCTCTTATAATACTTAAATACCTAAGCAAATATTTTGTACAGACCAGTGACAGTATTATTAACATTTTTTTTTTATATTAGAAAATATTTAATCAAAATATATAAATAGAAATATCAAGACTCTCTTCGATTTCTGAGAGCCGCATAGGAAGGCTCTAGAAGAAAGTTTGAAAAAGTAGAAAATTCATGTAGAATGTGAGCGATTATCGTCTTCTCATCAGCATTTAACACTGATAAATTAATAACTCGATTATCATTGATTAGGAAATAAATGTCTTATGTTTGTAGAGGTGCCAAGTCCCTAGAAATATGAAACCCTTATCCACTATAAAATGAAGTGAGTCCCATCTGCTATACATTTCAAATGCGCGCCTATCAAATATATTATAATACAATCGCAGGGTCTAACAGGGTATCTGTTTGTCAGGCATGCCTATTAGTTGATTACTATTTGCTTTTATTTGTGATTTGTAAGCTAGTCAGGCCCTAAGTGGGGCCCATGGAAGCGGCAACGGGAGGCGGCAGCAAACAGCTTTAGACACTTTAACACATTCCACTGGGAATCCACACACAGGGATACCAAAAGCTGCACCAAAACACAACACACACAGAGAGAGAAAGGTAGAGAGAAAGAGAGTGAGAGGGAGAGAAGGAAGGCAACCAGTCAACAGACAGGGATAAGCATTTAGACGACTTTTGAGACCGGTTTTTGGGCGCTATGAAGTCACCAGCACCATGGGCACTAACTAGAACTTGCGGCCGAAAAGTCCAAGCTGCAGCTGGAGCAGCAGCTCAGCATCTTGGCAGCTTGGCAGCCAGCCCCAGCGCGAGGGGCAGCCAACAAGCTCTTCAATCCACATTGACAAGCATCAAACAGCAATGGCAGAGGAGCAGCAAAGACGCGCTGAGTGCCCTGCGTGGGCAAGGGCGGAGCGGGGACCTTAGCTCAGCGAGGCTGTAACAAAAATGAAGCAAATGAGTGCGAAGCCTGGCCTTGGCCAGCTCCATTCAGCTATGTTGCTCCCTAATAGGCTAATTCGTTAATGGAGGGAGACAACACATTTGTTGGCTAATCATTGCTCAGGCTAGTATCGCTAACATATATTACAGCGACTGCCAACCGGAGGGCAATAACCTGGCCAATATGGCCAGCAAGGGCTAAAAACAAGAAGAAGCCTGCAGCTGTTGCTGCTGGTCAACTGACATCCTTGACATCGTCGTTCAAGTGACAGCTTCAAAATTGCAAGCAAACACAGCCAGGGCATGGGGATTGGGGAAGGGGAATGGGGGCTGGGGGATGGCTGCCCAGCGACGGAGAACATTCACTAAACTTTCACACACTCACACACACAGACACAGATCATGTATTTGGGATGAAACCAGGCAACAAAATACATTTTATTGCGGATATTTGGTAACAAGAACCAAGGCAACGCCGTAGCCTAAGTCAAGTCCAAAGTCAGAGATTCAGTTCTGTGCGCATTGACTTTTTGTCCTGGCCCAGCTTCAGCCTTAGCCCCGGCCCTTGCTCGCACTCGTGCCATATGTGCTCACGTATGTCACATGATTACCCAGCCAGCCAACAATGGCTTTGACTTTGAGTGACGGTCATTCCGCAAAAAAAAAAAGGCAAAAAAAAAAAAATTATCAGCAACGTTAACGCCTCAGCCTCTATGCCTGAGCCTGGGATTTCTGGACGTTAAAGCGGCTTTCACTTTGAATCAGTTCTTTGACAGCTACCTAACATTCAGTCATAGGAGTCGTACATCCCATGCAAAGTGGGCGGTGAAAAAAAAAAAAAAAAAAAAAACAAGTAAGAAGACTCTAGTCGAGACTGCTCGACTAGGAGATACCCTGAACCCTCTAATCTGATATTCTAATCAGTCTGCACTTCTTTTCGACACACATACATACACACACACGTATTAGAATGAGCTTTGCTAACTGCGCTTGGGCTGCGCTGTGTAGGTAACATTATAAGAATTTTTTGTTGAATAATTTAATTTCTAGACGTACAATCTTAATGAAAGTTTCAGGGCGTAATTATATGGTGAAAATGTATGTACATTCCAAAGCACATGTCTCTAGTACTTGAAATACGCCTTTTACAAAGGTGAGGGTGAGGGGGTGGATATAGGGGTGGGGGGTAAATTACAACAAAAATCGAAATTATATAAAATACATATAAGTCTACATTTAAAATTTGCAAGCTCTAGCTCTAAAGGTGTAGGAGATATAATTGAATAACTAGCTTTCGATAAGGTTTTTGATCGATAATAAAATATCGGGAGTAGTTATCGATATATAAAGAAAAACTTGATATGCGCGTGATATACACAGACCTAGGAAAAAAATTTCAAGTCTCTAGCTCTTATATCTTCTGAAATCGACGCGTTCATACATACGGACGGACGGACGGACGGACGGACGGACGGACGGACGGACGGACGGACGGACGGACAGACAGACGGACAGGGCCAAATCGACTTAGCTCGTCGCCCTGATCAAGAATATATATACTTTGTGGGGTCTGCCACGCCTCCTTCTGCCTGTTACATACTTTTAACAAAACCATTATACCCTGATTTCCCATTTTCAATGGGTTCAGGGTATAAAAAGGAAAAAAAGGGAAAAAAGGGGGAAAATAAAATGCCAAGGTATGTGTGACTGAACTAGGAAAAAAACTGGATTTGGGTTTCAGAATAGTTCAAATATTGTCAGCTGCCACTGGCGCTGCCAATTAAGAAGGGGATAAGCCACTAACGTGGATTCTCCAGTAATTGAGTTCCACTCAAATAACAGACAGTTCATCGTGCTATATATTGAATTTCAGTTGCTAGCCATAGTTGCGTATGTATAAATTCACAGATCAGCTGTACATATTAGAGTGTAAGTATATACAAAACTTCTGGTTTATAACTTTATCCTAACCTAATAGCGAACACTCAAAAATATAATTATACATATTAATCAGTCTTTGCACTTATACCTTATACAAAGTGAAGAAAGTCTATTGATTCTGTGCAGCGTCCGTCTTGCTGTCCGTCTGACAATCCAATCGACTGTTCATCCGACTATTCGTATGACGTCCGTCCAACTGTGTGTCGCTATAAACTATTTCGTCGCTATTAACTTGAAGTTAGGAACACGTATTGGAACGCCTCTCTTCAAAACTACTAAGATTTTCCAATACGACCACTAAGGGCATAAAAAATTGCGAAATACTATACCTGGTATAATATAACGCTATTATTTTAGATATTAGAGAGTTAAAATTTTGTAAATATATTAAATAATTCTGCTATAGCCTCTTTAGATAATTCAACGCTTAACAGAGGGCGTAGCGAATCTGGTAAAACTGTATCTTACACCATCGAACAGCTAGAATTGAATTATAAAATTGATATCATAAGTTCCTCCAAAGAAAAAAAAAATAAAAGAAAAAAATTTTTTTTAATTAATAAAAAAATATATATATATTCATATATCACATATTTTACCCATGTTAAGAAGTTTCGTATGCAAATCTAGAGTTTATATATACCCGCCTATTAGATATATGTACATACATATGTCGAATCCACAGACCAAGCTAAAAAAATTTAAATTCAAAATTTTCTGTTGACATCCAATAGGACCCCGTAGGGCGTAACAAGATGAAAAGCACCATCACACCTGCAATATTTCAGTTAGGGCTGCAGAATTTGATAGTTAGGGTACAACAGAATCCCTCTTGAGATATATAGTGTTAAACAGAAATCTTCCATCTAAGCCAGGTCAGAAGAGAAAATCCTTTTTTAGTTTTAAAGCCACAGCTAATTGCGTTAGCAAGTCCTATAACCAATTTCAAACAAGACAAATGCTAGAGCCAAGCAGCGAGCTAAACAAAACACATTGGCTCTTGACCTGAGCCCTAGAAAGTGTAGCCAACGCAGTCAGCGCAGCCGCCGACTGCGACGCCTACGCGCGGAAATCAAACAACAATGCATGGCAGCAGATGCATTCGGTGCAGTGCGAAGCTAAACGGAATGCAGTTAGGGCATTCACTGGCTGACAGTTATTATTTTATGACGACACTTGGCGCGGAGGCTCCACCCAGCCAGACAGACAATGGAGCAGAGAGACAGAGAGTCAGCCAGGCAGGCAGGCAGGACGGACGGACGAACAGACGGATGGACAGACGGGGAGTCAGGCAGCTGTCGCCATGTTCATGTCGTCTACCGCTTGCCGCAAAGTTTGCCCAAAAATTGTTATTCGAGTGTTGTTTGAGAATCCGCCACGCGGACTTTTCGTTGCACCGCCTCTCGCCCTGCGTCTGCCGCACTGATAAGCAACAGCAGAACGACAAACTTGTTGTCCGTCCAATTTTACAAAATGTTAAAAAGGCGCACAATATGCGTTGATATTTACCAAAAGTGCGTGGCAACGGATTCGCAAATTTGTCAACTAGAAAATAAATTATATGCACTTGTTGTCCAGTGTTATATTATCCTCAAGTGTTATCTTCCGATCCAACCAACAATATATATGTATAAAATAATATTCATAAATGAGGCATCTTATAGTAGAAAAATCAGCATGTTTAAGGGCTGACTACCACAGCTCAGGTCAGTTTATAAGAGTTCTTAATGTATGATAATGTCAATAGCCCTTCTAGGCAATTCTCAAGCTCTTTGCTTGGCCAAATCCGCGTCACATGTCTAACGGGGTATTGGCTAAATCTAATCTCAGATCAAAATATGTTTAAGAAGCTGTTCAGGACAACACTTATATAATTTCATTATTATGCTAACCATAGCTTTGATTTCGGTCTATAAAGATAGAAGTTGAATACATTTTAATAATATATTGTAATGATAATAGCAATGCTAAAGCTAACAGAGGACCATCAACTGAACAAAAGGTTTTCTTTTATATTTGTTGAGTATTCTACTATAATCTATTCACACGTTCTCCTTGGAGCTCAATCTCTTGCCTCTTGATACATCTGCACTTTACAGTTAAGTTTGGGCAACTGCCATAGCTTGCGGGGCAGCTCACCTCACTCAACTCGCTCTCCTTGGTTTCCTTTCCTAGGTTTCCCAGCTCCCCTCACATTTCACAGATTTTGCATTTCTATCTCTCTATCGTGGCTTCCATTTAATTCTACATTTTTTATTCATGCTCTTTTGCCCTGACTCTCCGAGTTCTTTCTTTCATTCAGAATCTAGAATGTCCGTCTTCACCCACACTGCTAATCTAGTTTTTTGTTTGTTTCAGTTTCTTTTTTTTTTTTTTTTGTATAAAAACGCTTTTTGTGCTCCGCTCATTTACTTTGGTGTCCCTCGTTATGTCGACTGACTGTTTATAATAAATAAATAAATCATTTTTACTTACATTGGCTTTTTTGAATGCTTTTGGCTCGTCTCCTGCTACTGCGGCTGCTGCTGCTGCGGCTGCGGCTGCGGCTGTTGTTGGTGACTCTTGAGAACAAGAGGCGATTCTTAGCTGCAAGAGCCGATCAAACAGCATTTGCAAATTAGCTGCACCGTCGGCAAGGCAAAAAATTCAATTAACTCGAAACTAGTTTGGCACATAAACAAAAATCGGGGAAAAAAAGAACGAAAACAGCAAGAGCATAAGAATATGGCCACGGATGGCGGGGCGATTGGGGATACAGATGGCACACACACGCACACGCACACGTACGCTACCGCTTGAGAGAGGGGGATGGGCGGGGGCGGGGGTTTTCGTTCAGAGGAGATCGGAGGGGGGGGACAGAGCACGAAATTAAAATATAATATTTCACTTTATGCTAAGATGAAGCCGAAGGGCAACACAACGCAATGCAAACTGAAGAGAACGTTCGATGTTATTGGCGCTGCTGTCGCACGAAGATCGCGCCGATAGCGAAGCAGGCTCTGGCCCTACATAGATCTGGCCAAGAGCAACGACAAGCGACAACAACAACAACACCGAAGTACGAGTCTCGTACTATGAATACGACTGCGACTGCGACTGCGACTGTGAATGCGAATGCGATTGCGAGTTTGATTGCGTTTTCCGATTAGTGTACGGCGGCTGTTATAGCACGTCCTCACGCGAGCAGCACACAAATCCAACTGACTCCAACGAGGACGCCAGCTAGCAGCAACAGCCACAGCAGCAGCAGCAGCAGCGGCAGCAACAGCAGCAACAGCAGTAGCAGCAAGACCAACAGCAACAGCAACAGCATGCAATTCGCTTGCCGCTGTGTGAGTGGCCAAGCTTGCTTCGACATGTATGGGTGTGTGTGTGCGAGTGTGTACGAACAGAGTGCAAAAGGAACAAGAACAAGCAAGCTAAAGCCAAAGCTGAAGCTAGCAAACAAACGAACAAACAACATTAACGAGCCTGAAGAGAAGCCATCTACTGAGCCAACTAGTCAGCTAGTGACGCGCGCGCGCTGCTCTCCTCGGCAAACAAAATGTGACAGCCACGAGCAACAGAGCCACAGAGAGAGAGAGAGAGAGCGGGATATAGAGATAGGGAAAGAAATGGTAAACAGGGGGGAGTGGGCGGCATATTACGTATACGTTTAACGCCGCCAAAATGCAACACAACGCAAAAGTTAAACCGGCATTTTGTTAGGCGCACATTTGAGCCGCTGCAAGCGCACAGGAGCGGTTCAGCCCGCTGCGGGAATTCAATTTAGAATCAATTCAAATTGTCAACAATTATAAGTTTAGGTTTATTTATGCATCTCTCTTGTGCATTAACTACATCATCATTCAACTTATTATCCTAAGCCATCACTACTCTACCATCAATCTATTCCACTTATTATCATAACCCATCACTTCTCTATCATCAATTTATTGTATTCCAATAACACTTGTTTCTACTGCAATTCACCATCACAGTCATCAAATTAAAGGACGTCTCTAGAGTGTGTCAGAGTATTCTGGCAAGTATGCTAGGACGGAAGAACAGTTTGTAGTAATTCAGATGTGGTAGGTATTTTGTTTGGCTGACATTTTGATGTGATGTGAAGACTTGTATTCTACATCTTCAAATGAGGACGAGTGTACTTTATGTAGTTTGGCAATGCTGGTCTGACCAGTTGAGTGTAATTAGTGCTAGGGTTATATACATAGATACTCCTAGCATTTAGAAATATAACCATAAATAAAGTTCAGTTCCAGCTTTATTAATTTTGTATCTACAGTAATTCAAATCAAATACATTTTAAGACCCGGAATACTCATGCAGGATACAACGATCTCCTCGTCTGGTTTGTCTTAATATCTACGTACATTACGAATACTCCTTTACGTTTTAGGGACCCGCATTGTGCTTCAAACGGCCCTGGCTTATGGACATGCTCACGTTTTGCCTGGACTTGGCGGCGGGGCAGGGGCTGTGCTAACGTTACGTTACAGCAACCCCACTAAATGTAACGTCTGAGCATCGAAGAGTGGAAGACAGAGCGAGAAAGAGAGCATGTGGGTGTGTGTGTGTGTGTGTGTGTGTATGAGTATGTGTGTATTGCAGCTGGCAACGCTTCCTACTTTATTACTGGTTTTCAACTTCATAAAATATGTTAAGCGTCGTCGTCGTTGGCGTCGGACTCGACGCTGATGTCGCCTGCTTGATTTACTTAATGCAGAAAGCACAGCGAACAGTGCATCTCTCTCTGTTTCTTTTCCTCTCTCACTCGCTCCTTGTGCCTCTCACTCTATCTATCTCTTTTTACTTGCTGCCACGGCCAGCTGTTTATGAAATTTTCGCGCCTTTTGTTGTTTCCCGCGGGTTCGCCGGCTTTGGTCCTAGTTGCTTTCGTTCTCTCTCTCTCTCTCTTTCTCTTTCTCTTTCTCTTTCTCTTTCTCTTTCTCTTTCTCTTTCTCTTTCTCTCTCTTTCTCTCAGTATATTTCTCTCTCTCAGACTGTTCGCTTAACTTTCTTCAAATACGCAACAGTCTCTAAGGGATACTATGCTAATTAACATCTGATCAAGCTTAATGGATGAAAAAAGAAGAAGAAAAGAAAAACCCTCTCATGATGCATAACTTAATAGATGCGAATAATAACTGAGAATAAATTAATGGAAAATAATTGCTGAAATATTGTACTATAATCAAGATCACAAAAACAAAAATTATTTTATTTTTTTATTATTTTGTATATTCTCAGATCAGATCGAAAACTCTTTAAAAGAAATGCATTCTCAATATTTTCTACCTCACAAATCGAAGTTCAGAGAGCTTATTCATAAAAATAATATTAATATGTGTCATATGGCAATCAATTGATATTTAGAATACTTAAACTTAATAATTAAAAATTCGAAGCAATACTAAAAAATTACCGAAACAACATTAAATTTAATTATTATATTTCATACATTATTTGAAGGTAGTCATACTACAGACTGCAGATCACTATTATTGGAAGACTTTATCAATATAAATTATAAATGGAGATTGTGGGGTTTTTCATACGCATTTGTTTTTCCTTCTCGGTTTTTATTACTTTTCTTCCAAATTAATTTTCCGTATATATATAATATTATAAATATTAAGAAGAAAATTACTATTAATTGAACTATGTAAAGCACTTTTGTATAATTAAATTATTATAATAAAACGAAAATTAATTTAGAAAAAAATAGGGGTTTCATATAGAATAAACTAAAACAATTAAAAATATTGATATTACAATTTTAGAAATGTATTAAGTTATTTATTTAATTTATTTATTAATTAATTTATCTTTTAATATCTCATTTTTAAATTGAAAATTAAATTAATTACTATGCGAAGGATTTTTTATAGCCTTAGCCTTATGGCTAACTAAAGCAAATAAAATAATAACAATAATACCTAACAAAAATAAATGGCATTTAATTTGTTTTTATTTGCAGTTTGACCAACTTCTACTATCTCACGAGATGATGAACTTTTGGTTTGAATTCCAGCTAAAGTTGCCCAAAGACTTTGCTAGCGTCGCTGCGAGTTGTAGTTGTTGTTGTTGTTCTTGTTATATATGTTGTTGCAGTTGCATTTGTTGTTGTTGTTCTTGTTATATATGTTGTTGCAGTTGCATTTGTTGTTGTTGTTGTAGTTGTAGTTTATTGCAATTTCTTATTAATAAGCGCCTTTTATGTGGAGCTGGTAGTTACAAGTTGCTAGTCTCGTTCGTCGGCAGTCGGGAGCCGGGAGCTGACAGCGGGCGTCAGAGCCGTCCCATGGGCGACATTAACGTTAATAATAATAAAATGTGTAATTGCATAGAACGAGGCTGCGCAGCATGTCCAACTCCCGAGATAGACCAAGTCTGCCCAGCTCTGTGCCGGCTCTGTGCAAGCCTTTCCAAGCCGACTCTCCGTGTCTGCCGTTGCCTGCCTCTGGCCCTGGCCCTGGCTCTGCCCCTGCTCCTGCCCCTGCCTCTACTTCTTGTGCCGCCTCAACCACTGTCCCTGGTACTCCTGCAGTCAGCATACGAAAAGGTGTAAATCATTTTCTAATCGCAGCAAGCAGATCACATGCACGCACTCGCACACACACACACATACACAGATAGACAGACAGACAGACAGACACGCAAACAGACAAACTTGTATAAAGCATTTACTTTTGTTTTTAGCATTCGCATTCGGCTTTTGGCATTGCATTGGCTCTCCGCAACGGTCAAAAAGACAATGTGAATTGCAGCCAATCAATGCAGGAGCAGCAGCAATAGAGAAGCATTGCTCACGTCCTCGCCCTTCGCTTCTTGGCCCCGGAACCAGTCCCACTCACACACAGCCTCCGCATTACCCCATCCCCTCGCTCTTTCAGCGGATGCGAAGCACTTGCCATATTGTCTGTTCCAAATGGATTTAGTTGCCATTGGCCTCCGAAGCTGTTTGCGGTTGCTGGCCGAGGTGCGAGGTGCGTTTATAGAGATTCTGTGAATAAGATGCTATATACATACATGAAGAATCGACCAACTTACTGAGTGCCTGCGTCGCCCGTCTGTTCGATTCTCAGAACTATTAAAACACCTTCTAATTACTCTTAATTATTACCACAAATTTAATTTCGCTATAGCTCTCGAGCAACCCTCGCACTCACTATGCTTCTGCTTCTGCTGTTGTTGTCGTGGCAGCTTAATGTAATTGTTCTTGTTGCCAATGAACTAACTTTGGATACAACAAGTGCATTGCTCTTCTTACAAATTCAATTCGGTAGAATTCAGTAAAATTTCCTACTGAAGCCGTAAGTCAAAAAGAGCTGGGGACAGACTGACTAATACGACCAATAGTTCTGCCACATAAAAAGACAACGGGACCTAAGTTGTATTAAGAAAGTAAAAAAAAAAAAAATGGAGAATTTTTAAAAACTTTTAAGCTTCCTTGTCTTAATGATGCTGCGTCTTAATTTGTGCATTATCCTTGTAATCTTAATTAAGCTGTCTATCAGATGCATCCCTCCAGCCCTTGTCCTTGGCCTAGCTGAGGTTGCTGCTGCCGTTGCTATTGCTGTTGCTGTTGCTCTTGCTGTTGCTCTTGCTGCTGCTCAACAGCAACAACTTCCGCAGCCGTGCGATTTACTCATCTGCCGGTCGCAGTTTTCTTCGCTTGGATTTTCCTTTTCTCATTGTTGTTGTTGTTGTTGCTGCTGTGCGTTTCACACAAGTGCAATTTTTTCATAGCCATTACACACCAACAACTTCCTTGAGCTGCATCTGCAGCCACAGCAAAAGAGGCAGCCAATGCATCTTACTATCGACTTGAATACCCTTACCCACTTGATTGAATTGTATTGTGCTACTGATGTGGAAAACTTATGCAAGTTTTATGAATAGCATTTACATATTTCGAGTGTCGATTTTTGTTGAGCTTATCGCTCAATTAATCAATTATTCAAGACATACAGGCATGAAAAGCATAAGGTATAAGGTATAAGGTATAAGGTATAAGGTATAAGGTATAAGGTATAAGGTATAAGGTATAAGGTATAAGGTATAAGGTATAAGGTATAAGGTATAAGGTATAAGGTATAAGGTATAAGGTATAAGGTATAAGGTATAAGGTATAAGGTATAAGGTATAAGGTATAAGGTATAAGGTATAAGGTATAAGGTATAAGGTATAAGGTAT